CGACAGTCTTTGCACACCCACGCACCTGTGTCCTGGACCAATGGTGTTGTCCTTATTATTAAAGCAAGGCTACGATCAAAGTCATCTCGACAGCACGTGATTCCGGTTCTGTTTGTATTACTCATCGGCACGAATCTGCTGGTATGGGCGAACGCTAGAATCAACTACGTTTTTATTTTCGGTTAGACTATATTTTTTCCCCTTCAGGGCACCTGCGCTAAGCTTGATTTAGAATTGGACACTCGGACCCGCATGGACTATCGCGAATATTATGAGGTACGCCCTCGCGGTCTTCGGCCAGTGCTGTTACTCAACATCTTCACTTCAGATTCCTAGTCTCCTTATCACAGGGCTATGTTACGCATTCTGGCTCTCGTTCAATAGAATCGGCTCATCACACGTCTCGCCGGAAACGTGGCCTCTCGTGTGGTTAGGATTCTGTGGGCTTGTGGTGCTTGAACCTCTGCCACTTTTCTACCAATCTTCGCGTTACTGGCTTGTGAAAAGTGTCGGGAAACTCCTTATATCGGGCACTCGCCGCGTCAAATTCACAGATTTCTGGATGGGGTGAGTCTTATTGATCTATAATTCTCTCCTCATAATGCTTACATTTGCTCTCTAGCGATCAACTTTGCAGTCTGGTATTCACACTTTCCAATTTCTACTTCTTCGCATGCGTGTATGCTCGCGGCTTCGACGAGGACTGGGCCAGTTGCGGTGTTGCTGGTTCCCGTCAGTGGCCCGTTATGTTCGTGCTTGCTTCGCTCCCACTCTTATTCCGTCTGGTGCAGAGTGTGAAGCGTTATTATGATTCCGGGATGGTGACCCATTTAATCAATGTTGGTCCTCTGTCCCTCATCCTTTTTATTCGAGATCTAACAAGAGTGATCCAGGGTGGAAAGTACGGCTCTGGTATTGTCAGTAATCTTTTCTTCTACATGTGGCGTCAGCGGGGTATGATCGCTTTTGTTTTACCGCTCCGGTAAGCTCATTTTGAATTTCGCATCGCAGCTTCCAAAAACCGCGACTCCATCTTTGCGTTGTGGATACTCTTTAACACCCTTTATTCAATCTATGCCTCTACATGGGTATGTGCTCTCGCAGTTTCTGCTAATCGTTGGCTAATCATTGGACAGGACCTTTTAATGGACTGGTCGGTTCTTCGCCTACGCGCCAGATACCCTCTCCTCCGCCAAGAACTGATTTATACCAATACAATACCGGTATGCATTATTGATTTCTCCTTTCGTCTTCCATTCAGTGCTTGTTTCACAGTCCTATTACTTTGCTATTGTACGTATATCTACCGCCATCCATCTGAGTTTACACTCATCGACGACAGGTCACTAACGTCTTGATTCGCTTCATCTGGGTGATATACATCCCAAACGACGGTCCGAGTATGTATCTACGTACATTCATCGGTGCCTTCCTCGAAATGCTCCGGAGGTTGCAATGGAACTTTTGTGAGTCCTGTTAGCGCTATGAGGATGTCCCTCGCTCACATACACTTCTCTCGCGCAGACCGTCTTGAGAACGAGCATCTGGGTAACATGGATCAGTACCGCGTGACACACGAAGTTCCGCTCCCCTATTCATTTGACGAGGCTCCTGTTGAAACTGCCGACGATGACAATACGCTGTAACTTGCTGTGGCGTGGAAAACGAGGGACTTCCGGCCTCGCTCTAAAAGGATAGCTGTGGTGGGGCCACGAGCAAAAAAAAGGGAAGTCCGGTTGACAGATCCCCCCCTTTGCTAGATGTTTCTTGCTTGATTTTACACGTGGACGGGTATATTTTATGTTCCTATTAGTGACATAGTAAAATCTGATAGTTGATACTAAACATATACAACCTCATAGCATGCTGAGTATTCCATTATTCGCGCCCTCCATTTTGCGGCGAACCGTAGTGGTACATCATGACAAGAGTCCCAATGTAAATGATGACTGCGGCAGACTGTCGTGAGTATTTCAGCTGTCAACGAAGAAAAGGCAACGAACATATGACCAAAATGGAAACGGCTAGACTGAAGGTTGCGAGAAACTCGCGGCACCATTGCACTTCGTTAGCTTTGGAAGCCAGCCAATTCAGAAGCAGAAGAAATATCATCAAATATTCAAACGCACAAGGTATAGATTGGCATCCAAGTGGCAATAATTTCGCGGTAGAAAGTGCAAGGGTAATAGTCATCATCCATGTAAGCCCCAATATTCCTGGAGATGTTTCGATCAGCGACAGAGAAGAATCAAAACGTTGAGGAACCATTACCGATGGCTACGCAATCATTACCAGGCCTTGGCAATCTGGTCAACGAGAAGTGTGAGCTTCCAGCCTGATGACAACAAATTCACGTACAAAACAGTCAAAACAATAATCGTTAGCAGGGAGATGACCAACGCTGCACATTCAAAATCGTACGTCGGTAAATTTTCCGTGAGCGTGTGATGAATGCGGTGGGACGATAGCCCTAGGATCACAATAGCGCATACGAGAGAGATTCCTTAATTAAAATTGTTAAAAAGAGTTACACAGATAATCCCAAACGAGCAAACTCACCAAGAAAGGTGGTCTTGAACACCTTGTGAAAATTTTCCATGAGATGTGGGTTCAGCGTCAAAGATAGCAAGGATTCGTGGGTTGGGGTATTCTTGGCAGCAGGGAAGGAACACTATATATACGAGCTGAACAAGGAAATGTTATGTTCTGGTGAAAGAATAAGACGCTCGGCAGTCCGAGCAATTATGAACACCACAGTTGCACAGCCATCAGAGCCACAAGGATATGTGCTTTAGCCAGGTATCACAGCCCGCAAGTGGCATTGTTCGATAATTGAAGTTACTCCATTGACTGAGCTCCTGCCGCACAGCTTTTTCTTGAACAAAAGATCCTTAGTGGCGGGTTAAATTTACAATTGAGTGCCTGTCCAGTACAACAATGAAAACCATAGAAACGGGTGCTGTGATTTGTGACTCGGTGAGGCCCGGAGGGAGGACGATGGCGCAGAATCCTAAATTCCGAGGCGAGAAAATCCAGCTTTCGATTAACAAACACTTGAATTTGAA